CCTCAATTCTTCCCACGGGTTTTCGGTAGTAACCCTTCTCGTTTCAATGTCTCTTAACACTTAACACTTTCTTATGTTGTAACAAAACTTTCTTCCATTTTACCGCGGTAAAAACTAGTATCACACAGCCACAGATCATGCATTGTTTGACTCGGCAAGTGTTCTTCCAGAGAACTAACGTCCCTCAAAAGGCGAGATAAATGTGATGGAGAAGATGTCTCAATGATTGTCAAGATAGCCGCCTAGAATTGTTCAGAAATATAGCAGAAAGCAATTGGATATAGGCAGATTGTTCCTCTTCTTAGCCAGAAGACTATTGAAGGAAGGTTGAGAAAATTGTACAATAGAGGAATCGAAGTTATTGAGAACAAGAAGGTGGACAAAAAAGCTTCATTTTAAAAAGAAATGAAGGAATTGCTTGATATCTGTAGGTGTCCCTCCCCCAACCCGTATCCTATCAGGAGGTGAAGTGCAAAGTTAAGAAGTGTGATAGGTATCACCTGGCCTGTAATCGTGATATAAAACTTTCCGAACGTCAGACGGAGTTCCTCCTTGACTAGCGAGAAGATAGCAAGGTGAATATTGCAGGGATTGACATAAAAGCGATGATGATGATGTGGGACAGAGTGACGCTAAGAGAGAAACGTGATGCGGACAGGGCCAGCAGACAACTTGATCAAAGACCTAGTAGCTGCATATATTCCTTATGTTGAGGGTAATTCGAATAATTCAAGAGATATCCTTCCTGTCAATAATGATGTTGATTTTGTCCCCGATCCAAAAGATCTGACAGACACCAGTTCACAGAACAGGACAAAACTCCCCACACTGATTGCTGCTTGCGACCGATTCTTGATTAGTGATTAAGCTGGAGCAGCCATTGTTACTGATGCCATAACTGACTATGGCATTATCAAAAAGGATAACAAGAGTCAATTTATTGGACACATAAGCTACGAAATGCGCGATAAAAATACCAATTGAAGAGGCGAGAAAATCAAATGGCTAGTTTTGAAAATATGGCGTCACTGTATTTTGATAAGAAGATCGCCACTCGTGTGATGATAAAGAATGAGAAGACCAATAAATGGAGTCTGAAGATGATGGTGAAAGATCATTATGCCATAATGCTTGAGCCTGTCAATGAATATCTCACACAGGTGATTCCCCAGACTGAACGCGGAAAGCAGATTACCAAAACTAGTCACGAGTTTCTGGTGGAGACATGTCTAACCCAGCAGCCCATTGTACGGGTTGGTATTGATGGAACCACTGTAAATGTAACGTCAGATAATGGAGCCATTTACCATCTTAAAATATTTTCCGTAATTCCCCTTGTATAATATGCATTTTTTCTAAAAAAAAAAAAAGAGACAAAATCAGCTACGTATTATGAACAGCTACAATAAAATCTTTTAAAAATTGCGGTAAAATAAAATAAGGATTATCATAAAACTAAATCAGAATAATATTATTCTATGTTTAAGATCATTTTTTAAATAAGAGCAGGAAACGTTGGCCGTAATGAAATCGGAGAGGTACAATTTATAGGGTTTGATTACCAAACAATGGGTGCGTATTATGCATGAGTAGAAGCATTTTCCCACAGTTTCAGCAAAATTTTAGGTGTGTGTATTGTGAATGAAAGCGTATTATAAATGGAGAATTATGGTACTTGGTCATCCGCTCCATTATTTCTTTTGTCAGCTTCAAGAAATATGCTGCTTTTCCGCGCTGTTTTCTGTCAATATGCTGGGAAACTAAATGGTCCTGAGTATTGGCGTGGTTCCATGGAAAGTAAATCAAGAAGCTTTTGTCATGAGGTGCCATTTGTTACCTTCCAGTAAGTCTGTTTCACTGATTTCCCTTCCCTGGAGGAAGAAGTGGAGAAAGGTCTGTCCTGGGATCAGAAATATCTGTATAGGATTTGTAAAGGAGTTATTACAGCTGTTGTTGATGATGACTTGCCTGCCATCGAGCCAGGTCCTCCTTGCGCATCAAGGTGAAATAATTTATTTGATAGAATCCTCAGGCTGTATGTAGCAACATCAACACCCAGACACGAGTTGAAAAGAATTTTCATTACAATTATAAAGTTCAGTGCTCCAATATGGTTTTGCATCAAGATTCACCCTTACGTAACATAGGGCTCAAGGAACGTATTCCGATCCCTGCTATATATGAAAAAACCTGAATAGTAAGTGTTATGAGGACCTACCTTCATCGAGAAAATAGATTCGTCTTATGACTATATTATGCCTCGCAAGAGGACTGTAGACAGTTGACTACGTGACTACGTGTACGTCTTCTGTGTACGACTTCTGTCGAACTCTCTGCTTTGGTAGAGAGGAACCCGGACGAAGCTTTGCCGAAGGAAAAAATTTTTTCCGGGGAGGTGGACAGGCCCTGAACCCGTCTAGGCGGGTTCAAAGGGTATGTTTTTGGCCGAGCCTACGGGTTCGGAGAAACCCACGTTAAACTCGGCCTTGTGCCACACACATTCCTCATGTGGGGACTGTTAAATATTGTTGAAGAGTTGACTACTGTACTTAACCGTCAGACGGACGTGCAACAATTCGTTCTTTTTGTTAATAATACGTTTTCACTGAATTGCTGAGTCCGAGTTTTCTTTCGGACCCTCTTCCGGGTCCACAACAGTAAGGAGAAGACGATAGGGAAGAAGACTGTCCAGAGAAATGCATACTTCGTCCACACAGATGAACTTCTTGGTATGTATGCAGACGAGGACGTAATTCTTAGAGAAAAAGCTGTCTCAAGAATATTAGAGAGTATTAGAGAGGAGAATGAGAAGGAAGAAGGCACTGACGGATCTGATGAAGAGGAAGAAGATTCTACTGCTGCTGACGAGGATGTGCTTAACAATACCGATGAGGAGCAGGTCAGTTAAGATGGAGATGGGAATGAGGATGTACCTACTGTAGTCAACATGAGAAAATTGGTGACTCCCAAACTAAAGAGGCAATCAGAAAACTATAATTCCATGATTAACTGAATGAATGAACTCAATACTAAGTCTCCTTACATTGCATCTCTATCAGATCAACAGGTTAATGACATTCTTGAGACACCATTAGAAGTGACCAAGCGAACAGACAGGACTCAGGCGGTCGAAAGATGAATAAAACTGATAACTGAAGCTTGTACTGAAGTGACGAGATACAAAGCGAGAGATGAATATATTAGGCAAAGTTTTATTGTTTAGGAAAATGATGTCCAATTTCCACACACAAAATATTTTACTGTTAACTATTACTATTATCAATATGATGGCCCTCTTAAATAATATTAAAATTAAATTGATGTCACTGATGTACAATTTATTATTATCCTGGGAAGCAATAAATAACACCTATTTTTGGTGTACAGTAAAAATTGATAAAAAGTCGATTGGTTTGGTTTGTTTTGCTTTACGGGTTATCAACCTCAATGGGTTATTTAATGCCGACAAATTTTTTATTGCTGGTAATATTTTTTTCCAAGAATGTATTCACTGTATTATTTTTTTCTTCAAAAATCTATTTCTGGGAATATTTTTCATAAAAAATCTATTGCTGCTAATATTTTTTACAAAAATATAAATATATAGCTGTTTGTATTGCTTGTAATATATTTTGTTAAAATTATTGCTGGTAATAATAGTATTTTGGTAAATATATCTGTTAAAATGAGATGACAGTGATAATGTCTCGAAAAAGATTTTAGTATTAACTATTACTATTATCAATATGATGGCCCTCTTAAATAATATTAAAATTAAATTGATGTCAACCATGTACAATTTATTATTATTCTGAGAAGCAATAAATAATAGCTATTTTTGGTGTGCAGTAAAAGTTGACAAAAATTATATTCGATTGGTTTTGTTTGGTTTGTTTTATGGATTATCAATCTCAATGGGTTATCTAATGCGGACAAATTTTTTTTTGCTGGTAATATTTTTGTTCCAAAAATGTGTTGCTGGTAATATTTTTTTCTTCAAAAATCTATTTGTGGGAATGTTTTTTCTTCAAAAATCTATTGCTGGTAATATTTTTTCAAAAAATGTATAGCTGGTAATATTTTTTTCCAAAATTATATAGCTGTTTGTATTGATTGGATATTTTTTTGTTAAAATTATTGCTGGTAATAATTTTTTCCTTCAAACATTTATTGCTGGTAATAATTTTTTACGAAGTATTTCTGGTACTAAAACCTATTTTTACACTTTCATAGTATTTTGACCACAGTTTGAGGGTTAACTATTTGCCCATAGCTGGGACCCTAACAGGTGCTACCACCCTGGGTTAGGGTAAACCTGGGAACACCAGCAATTAAGAGGTGGTTCCATGTTCCTCAAAACCTCCTGATCAAAGGCTTTGCTGTCGGATGTAGTTTATCGTCTTACCCAGGATGGCAAAAAAGTCGATCACAATACTGCAGGGAAAGTGGGCATAAAAATGGCTTGAAATATTTCACAGGGTTTTTTTTTTTTTACAAACGATGCCTGAAAAGTGAAGCTTGCAACTCAAAAAATGTTCTTTTTCACTACTTCCTATTGCACTATAAAATTGAATATTAATTACTAATAGCACACACACATATATATATATAGTGTGAAGACAAAAATTCTGTCGGTCAGTGGGATCCATTAAAAGATGTCAAAATTGTTACAACTGAAAGAAAGGGAAAAATTTAAAAAAAAAAACAATAAGGAGTGAGTATAAAGTTACAAGAAAAACGACGAAAGAGAGAAGTAACCATGACATTCTACGCATACGTACATATGAGAAGGCGGTCGAATGGACACGCAGACGCACACTCAGATACGCACACACACACGCACACAATGAAAAAAAAAAGGAAGAAATCAACCTTGCATCAATGAAAAGTGCATATATAAAAGAAAAAAAAGAGACTTATAAATGTCAATTGCTGGTACCCCCTGACGAGTGGACGGAGTGATTGCTGAAGTGTCTGTCGATGAACCTTTGGAATCCGTGATGCTGAAGGTTATAGAACGAGACTACTTTATATTTGTATTAATTCTCTCTCTCTCTCTCTCTCTCTCTCTCTCTCTCTCTCTCTCTCTCTCTTTATCTGTCCATATCTCTCTCTCTCTCTCTCTCTTTATCTGTCCATCTCTTTCACTCTCTCTCTCTCTCTCTCTTTATCTGTCCATCTCTTTCACTCTCTCTCTCTTTATCTGTCCATCTCTCTCTCTATTTATCTGTCCATCTCTGTCTCTCTCTTTATCTGTCCATCTCTCTCTCTTTATCTGTCCATCTCTCTCTCTATTTATCTGTCCATCTCTTTCTCTCTCTTTATCTTTCCATCTCTCTCTCTTTATCTGTCCATCTCTTTCTCTCTCTCTCTTCATCTATCTATCCATCTCTCTCTCTCTTTATCTGTCCATCTCTCTCTCTCTCTTTCTCTCTCTCTCTCTCTCTCTCTCTATATATATATATATATATATATATATATATATATATGGGTTAAATGTTTACGAAAGATGCTAAGGACAGTCTTGATTGCGCCACTGACTCGTCGTCACTAGAATTAAGAACTTCCGTTCAATTAAATAGGCAAAATAATATCCTCTTCATATTGAAAACTTGTTCATGTACGTCCTAATTATATTTATTCATTTCATATATATATATATATATATATATATATATATATATATATATAGGGAAGTGAAAATGATTGTAAATATATATCTTTAATTTAAAGGGTATTTTTTTTAAATGGTACTCATATTTGAGTAGATACACTGTTTATTTATTTATTAAACATGATTTATTCATTTACATCTACTGACCTGAATATTCGAGAAATCTTGTTAGAAAAATATGTTTGAACCTGCGTCCCCTCTGTGAAACCGTCATTGTGCCATAGACCAACACGGCCACATAGGACTTCCTGATGAAACAACGTCCGAATATCGCTTTTAAACACATATATTCCCGATTTTCGAAATATATATGTGTTCAAAAGCACTCCGCCATAAATTTGGAAACGGCATACTTTACTGCTTGGCATTCTCACCGGAAGCTTCATTACAAACAACTCAGGGCGTTTGGGTTTCAATCTGAGGACAGTGCAGAGGATTCGGAAAGAGTTGGATGATATATCCAGTCATATCATGGTGTTTGGAGTGATCACGTTATGCTCCTATTCATCTTCCCACAGGACTTCAGATTCAACACGGAGGCTTACATGAAGTGCTTTGAGGAGGTAGTGCTGCCCTGGGTCAAGTGGGTGGCTGTTGCAAGACCTTATATCTGGCAACAGGACTCATGTCACACCATGCCACACAAGCAAGACAACCCAGTCATGGCCGTCAGACAATTTCTCCGACGACATCACTCCATATAAGTGGTCACCTAACTCCCCAGATTGCAACCCCCTTGAATGTGTGGCGCGCAGTTGAGTGAGAGACCAACAAAACACCTTGTAACATCAAAGATAAACTGAAGGCAAGGATTATGGGGGCACTCACCAACTTAAGCAAAGAAACCGTTCAGAAAAGTTGCTGGGGTCGTCTGGAGGCCGTGCATGAAGCCAATGGCGGCATTATTGAATACATTTACTCTTTAGAATTTCAAGATATTTTTGGGTAATTTTGGTAATTATATCTGTTAAAATGAGATGTCAGTGTTATTTTTATTTTTGCATAATTTAGACGACAGTTTATCCCTCGCACCCTGTAAATGTGTATGTGTCAAATTTAATTTACACCCTCTTCATATTTCTTTTCCTTCTTTTTCTCTTTAGGCAGAATATCTATCTATCTATCTATCTATCTATCTATCTATATATATATATATATATATATATATATAGATAGATAGATAGATAGATAGATATTTATTAATATCTTAACGTTAGAGTTAGACTAAAATAGAAATCATTCTAACTAATTAATATTAAGTTTTACTATAAAATTGAAAATAAAAAATTACTAATAATATTAATTTTCAATTTTATATTAAAAATTAATATTAATTAATTAGAATGATTTCTATTTTCCCTAAGCTTGTTGCGGACCGGTGTGTACGCATTGTGAGATGAACAGGTGTGTCTCCTGTACAAACAAATTAATATGTATAAAACAACAAAAGGTTACATATGACAAAAACAATAATGTGTGAGTACAAATGAATGTGGAAAGTTTGTGTTCCAAAGTATGTGTGAGTGAATGTGCGTACGTACGTGTGTGTGCGTGTGTATGTGATGTTCATGCGTGTCTCAGAAGATGGATGACATTCTTCCGCTAGAAATTTTACATGTCGTCATATTAGCGGAACAGTAAGGAGGGAGTGAGAAAAGATAGAGCGTCCCCTAGTAACAGTTTCGGAAACTAAGAAAGAAAATAAGGAGGAAATAACCCGACAAGCTATACAATCTTCCTCGTGTCTAGAGCCAATTGCTCGCTATGCTACATAGCCTCATAATACTCACATTTCCGCCTTCCGTTACAACATTCCCACTCAGTAACACTCTACCTTGAGGGGACCTTGGGCTTTGCATTGAGTGAACTAAAATAAAATTAAAAAAATATTTATATTCAAAAAAGAATGACTTTACAGTACAACTTATTTATATAAGCGTAATTTTATGTTCCCATATTTAAAAAAAAAAAAAAAAGCGAAAGAGTTATTTTGCTGGTCCCGGTAAAATATGCTTTTAAGCTTATTTTACGGGTCTCGGTAAAATAGACAAATATGCTTTTAAGCTTATTTTACGGGTCTCGGTAAAATAGACAAATATGTTTTTAAGTTTGTTTTACGGGTCTAGGTAAAATAGACAAATATGCTTTTAAGCTTATTTTACGGGTCTCGGTAAAAATAGACAAATATGTTTTTAGCTTATTTTACGGGTCTCAGTAAAATAGACAAATATGCTTTTAAGCTTATTTTACGGGTCTCGGTAAAATAGACAAATATATTTTCTAGCCTATTTTACGGGTCTCGGTAAAATAGACAAATATGCTTTCAAGCTTATTTTTGGGTCTCGGTAAAATAGACAATATTCTTTTAAGATTATTTTACGTGTCTCGGTAAAAATAGACAAATATGTTTTTTAACTTATTTTGCGGCTCCCAGTAAAATAGACAAATATGCTTTTAAGCTTATTTTACGGGTCTTGGTAAAAGAGACAAGTATATTTTTTAGCCTATTTTACGGGTCTCGGTAAAATAGACAAATATGTTTTTTAGCCTATTTAACGGGTCCCGGTAAAATAGACAAATATGTTTTTTGGCTTATTTTACGGGTCTCAGTAAAATAGACAAATATGTTTTTTAGCTTATTTTACGGGTCTCAGTAAAATAGACAAATATGTTTTTAAGCTTATTTTACGGGTTTTGGTAAAAGAGACAAGTATTTTTTTTAGCCTATTTTACGGGTCTCGGTAAAATAGACAAATATGGTTTTTAGCTTATTTTACGGGTCTCGGTAAAATCGACAAATATGTTTTTTAGCTTACTTTACTGGTCTCAGTAAAGTAGACAAATATGTTTTTTAGCTTATATTACGGGTCTCATTAAAATAGACAAATATGCTTTTAAGCTTATTTTACGGGTCTCGGTAAAATAGACAAATATGTTTTTTAGCTTATTGTACCGGTCTCGGTAAAATAGACAAATATGTTTTCAAGCCTATTTTACGGGTCTCGGTAAAATAAACAAATATGCTTTTAAGCTTATTTTTGGGTCTCGGTAAAATAGACAAATATTCTTTTAAGATTATTTTACGGGTCTCGGTGAAAATAGACAAATATGTTTTTTAGCCTATTTTACGGGTCTCAGTAAAATAGACAAATATGCTTTTAAGCTTATTTTACGGGTCTTGGTAAAAGAGACAAGTATATTTATTTAGCCTATTTTACTGGTCTCGGTAAAATAGACAAATATGTTTTTTTAGCTTATTATACGGGTCTCGGTAAAATAGACAAATATTCTTTTAAGATTATTTTACGGGTCTTGGTAAAAGAGACAAATATATTTTTTATCTTATTTTACGGGTCTCGGTAAAATAGACAAATATGGTTTTTAGCTTATTTTACGGGTCTCGGTAAAATAGACAAATATGTTTTTTAGCTTATTTTACGGGTCTCGGTAAAATAGACAATGTTTTTTTAGCTTATTTTACGAGTCCCGGTAAAATAGACAAATATGTTTTTTAGCTTATTTTACGGGTCTCGCTAAAATAGTCCCCTAGTCTATTTTGCCGGTAGATATTTTTTTATTATTATAAGATCAAGTAATGTTAAAAATAACAACAGACGGATATAAGTTTATTTATTTTGACCATCAATTGTTAAGATAATTTATATTTTCCGTTATCAATTGTTAAATCACAAATTATTTTTTCATCATCAATTACTAAATGAAATATAGAAATCTGTGAATATTTTAAACACTTCAGGAATAGCGGTCTCTGCAAATGCAAAATTCGCCCTTGGGTATGGTTCTCTTCCTAATGCACTTCAGGTACACCTTCTGAAGGCAACAGTCACAGACCACAGAATCCAAGTGCTGCCTACACAGCTCACACAACGACTGCACTGACAATCTCAAAGATAATATATTCTTAGATCTAAAACACTGTTTATAAAGGGTGATTCATTAAGACGAATTATATAAAAGGAAGTTTCATTAAGACGGATTATATATAAGGGTGTTACATTAAGACGGATTATATATAAGGGTTTTTCGTTAAGATGGATTATATATAAGTGTGTTTCATTAAGACGGTTTATACATAAGGGTAATTCATTAGGACGAATTATATATGAGGGTGTTTCATTAAGACGGATTATATATAAGGGTGTTTTATTAAGACGGGCTATATATAAGAGTGTTTCATTAAGACGCATTATATATAAGGGTATTTTATTAAGAGGGATTATATATAAGGGTGATTCAGTAAAGTTGATTACATATAAGGGTGATTCATTAAGACGGATTATATATAAGGGTGTTTCATTTAGAAGGATTATATATAAGGGTGTTTCATTAAGACGAATTATAGAAAAGGGTGCTTCATTAAGACGGATTATATATAAGGGGGTTTTATTAAGAGGGATTGTAAATAAGGGTGATTCATTAAGACGGATTATGTATAAGGGGGTTTCATTAAGATGAATTGTAGACAAGGGTGGTTCATTAAGACGGATTATATATAATGGTGATTCATTAAGATGGATTATATATAAGGGTGTTTCATTAAGACGGATTATATATAAGCAGGTTTTATTAAGAGGGATTATATATAAGGGTGGTTCACTAAGACGAATTATATATTAGGCTGATTCATTAAGACTCATTATATATAAGGGGGTTTTATAAAGAGGGATTATATATAAGTGTGATTCATTAAGAACGATTGTATATAACGTTGTTTCATTAAGACTGATTATATATAAGCGGTTTTTATTAAGAGGGATTATATATAAGTTTGTTTCATTAAGACGGATTATATATAATGGTGTTTTATTTAGAGGGATTATATATGAGGGTGATTCATTAGGACGGATTATATATAAGGGGGTTTCATTGACGAATTATAGAAAAGGGTGCTTCATTAAGACGGATTATATATAATGGTGATTCATTAAGATGGATTATATATAAGGGTGTTTCATTAAGACGAATTATATATGCGAGTTTCTTAAGAGGGATCATATATAAGGGTGGTTCATTAACACCGATTATATATAAGGTTGTTTCATTTAGACTGATTATATATAAGCTGGTTTTATTAAGTGGGATTATATATAAGGGTGATTCATTAAAACGGATTATATATAAAGGTGCTTTATTAAGACTGATTATATATAAGGGGGTTTCATTAAGACGGATTATATATAAGGGGTTTTTATTAAGACGGATTATAGACAAGGGTGCTTCATTAAGACTGATTATATATAAGGGTGATTCATTAAGATGGCTTATATAAGGCTGATTAATTAAGTCTCATTATATATAAGGGCGTTTTATTAAGAGTGATTCTATATAAGTGTGATTCATTAAGACCGATTACATATAAGATTGTTTCATCAAGACTGATTATATATAACATGGTTTTATTACGAGGGCTTATATTTAATGGGGTTTTATTAAGCGGATTATATATAAGGGTGTTTCATTAAGACTGATTTTATATAAGGGTGATTCATTAAGCTGGATCATATATATGGGTTTTTTATTAAGATGGATTATATATAAGTGTGATTAATTAAGTCGGATTATACATATGGGTGTTTCATTAAGACTGATTATATATAAGTGGGTTTTATTAAGAGGGATTATTTATAAGAGGTGATTCATTAAGACGGATTATATATAAGTGTATTTTATTAAGTCGGATTATATATAAGGGTGTTTCATTAAGGCTGATATTATATAAGGTGATTCATTAGGACGGATTATATATAACAGTGATTCATTAGGAAGAATTATATATAAGGGTGTTTCATTAAGACGGATTATATATAAAGATGTTTCATTAAGACGGATTATATATAAGGGTGTTTCATTAAGACGAATTATATATAATGGTGTTTCATTAAGACGGATCAATGTCAGCTCTAAATAAATCAGTGTTATTGTAAAAATTTATTGAATCATGTTATTTAAGCCATGGCAATTATGTGTGAAAAATGATATCGCCCAAATGTCCACTAAATCTGAAAAAAAAATCATTAGATGCTTAAACTTAATTCACATTTAACGTTATTGGAGAACTCTTTATTTACTGACAAAGTAATCTGGGTATCTATTTTGCCGGGACCGGAAAATAGCCTATTCTTAAAAAAAAATGTTGTATTATTATACGTTGGTGCTTTTAGTAATATGTTTGATAGATGCCGAATATAACCTTTTATACTCACGTCCCGGAGAAAAGTGACAGATGACGCCTATGCAAGAGCGAGAATGAATCTGTGTGTCATTGTTTTGAAGAGATACGCTACAGATGGGAGTTTGAACATTTTCTTATCTTAAAGTATTGTTTGCGGGCTTTTTAAGATTTCCGCCGACGAGTGTAGCTTTGCATTTCGAAATACATCCGTTCATCTTTTCTTTTTTTAACAGCGGATGTCCGAAACGAAAGTGATAGCAAAAGAAACATAAATACATGCAGAATAACAATGGTGACGTCATCGGTGCTGAGGGGCTTGCAGTCAAGATGTTTCGTATCTCTGTTTGTGAGCAAGCGCCTCTATCCACCAACTCGCGCTAATTTCTGGGCGAAGATTTTGCTTAATGACTACGAAAACAATGCAGGGAAAACAAAGTCAGTTATGTTTAATAACAAGCAGACAAGAGTACAATAACAAGAGAAAGAAAAGTAAAGAAAAGGACAAAAATAATATTAAGCAAGCAAACAATGTACGCAAGGCAAAAATATGCAAAGCAACATTAATATGGCAAAAAGTTAACAAACTGAAGATGGTGTTAACGCACAATTGCGGATATAGACAAGCAATCGCAACCTTCTGGTTTCAAGAAGTAGTATATCTTATTGGCTAAGAGAAAAATTTAAGCATGTATCTGTGGGTTTCGTCTATAAATGGAGGGGTAAGTATTTCGCAGTCATCCTAATATGGATTGGAACCAAAACTATCTATCTATCTATCTATCTATCTATCTATCTCAATGTTCATATCTATCTATCTATCTATATATCTATCTATTTCAATCTGTTCATATCTATCCATATTCATATTTACCTCTATCTGTTCATATCTATCTATCTATCTATCTATCTATCTATCTCAATGCTCGTATCTATCTATCTATCTATCTATCTATCTCAATGCTCGTATCTATCTATCTATCTATCTATCTATCTATCTATCTATCTATCTCAATGTTCATATCTATCTATCTATCTATATATCTATCTATTTCAATCTGTTCATATCTATCCATATTCATATGTATCTCTATCTGTTCATATCTATCTATCTATCTATCTATCTCAATGCTCGTATCTATCTATCTATCTATCTATCTATCTATCTATCTATCTCAATGTTCATATCTATCTATGTATCTATCTATCTATCTATCTATCTATCTCAATCCGTTCATTATCTACCTCAATCTGCTCATATCTATCTATCTCAATCAGTTAATATCTATCTCAATCAATTCACATCTATCTATCTATCTATCTATCTATCTATCTATCTATCTATCTCAGTCCGTTTATTATCTATCTCAATCTGTTCATATCTATCTTTCTATCTCTATCAGGTAATATCTATCTCAATCAGTTCATATCTATCTATCGATCTATCTACTTCTTTTAACTGCATAATAGCCTTTCTCCTAGACTGGCTGCCACTCACGGGGACAGAACGCCAAATCTATTCTGCTATTTAATCCATAACTGGTCGGAAAGTAGATGGATTCCTGCCTTCCGCAGGGGTATTGGTGATCACAACAGGCGAGACCGGATTTTGAACTCAGCTTGCCTATCCCATTTTCCACGCCGATAGCAATTACCCTTCTCCTCACATCTCTTCCCATGCAAATCCTTCGAGTCGAAAATTAATAACTGACGATTTGACTTTTAAAGAAAGAACTTTAAAAAAAGGTAAACATTTGACATGGCTTCTTTTAATTTGTTCATTCAGATAAGTATTTTGGTGTCATCTACTTTATTTTGGAGATTAGTTTATCAGAAGGGTAACAGGAAACGCCTCATGTGAGAATAAGGACGGTCGATGATGACTGCCTTAGAAAAGAAAGTGTATAAATAATTACCAATGCTGAAGAAAACTTTTTCGTTAGTTAGAAAGACAGAGAAACAGGATGCATCAGTATAATGGTCAAAAGAGACGAGCAAAACAAAAGAAGCTGAGAGGAAAACGTAACAATTTAAAGAGGAAACCTTAAAACAGAAACACTTATGGCATTACTAAGAATAATCTATACACTTATCAAACTTGATCGTATCTTTAACCGTTAAGCATTTCTATTTAAGATTTGAATGGCGTATCTGATCCTTGACCCTTTCTGATCCGAAATAAGTTAGGCTTTCTGACCAAGAAGCATACATAATTATAGTAAGCAGGAACGACAAAAGAAAAGCTAATGAGAGGAGGAGAAAAAGTGTACGTGGAAAAGAAAGATGCAAGGAAAAATGCTAGAAAGAAAACCAGGTGAAAGGAAAAATAAATATATGTGCAAATAAATATATGTAGCTAAATGGTATAGAACGTCAGATCAAATGACGGTTTCTGTATAGGAATACAGGTTCGATTCCTGTCGGAGAACGCATATTTTCGAGGAAATTTCTCTAACATTCAGGCCGGTAAATGTAATTAATAGTGTTTAATTAGAAACAGCGTTTACTTAAATAAATTGCATCTATAAAGATAACGGAAAATATATTAAATAATTGTTGGATTTAATATATTTAATTATATATATATATATATATATATATATATATATATATATATATATATATATATAATTGACGAGGCAAGTACTTTCAACAATGTCAAATTGTCATCTCCAGGGACGCAATTTTTCCATATACAGCCAAAGTGGTATTTACTACCTGCATACAATCCTCACTCAGTGCTTTATTGTTGAGGTTTCGCTCCAGACGTAAATATCTGAGCGCCTGTTGTAGAATTATTGGAAACACGTTAATCGCAAATACAGTTGCTAATGCGGGTAAAATAGCACCTTCTTTTGTTGTTAATTCCTTTGAACCAAATAATGACATCAGCGGTACCAGTTCATTGTAAAAGTCCAAGGCTTCGTTAAATTTGCTTGTTGACTCATCTCCGCCCACCCGCAAGCCAAGTTTAATTTTATCTGTTTATTTTTCTTTTCTTTTCGTGTTAGTCGGCCATTTTGTTTAATTGTTTGTGGACTTGGACTAATAAAAGCAGATCGCCTTCAGTGGTACTTTCTAGCTACCTCGACCGAGTTCCAGTTAACTAGAAGAGTTGAGTTGGCGATCTTAGATTGTCCAAGTTTCCATTTTATAGTTTACTCGGATAATAGGCCCGTCCGGGTTCGTATAAACTTAGTTAAGCCTAAATTTAGGATAACTGGTTACTGGAAATTGAACATTATTTGGTAAACGAGATTTCTTGGACCAGTTGCTACTAATGCTACAACGGGAATTGACGGGAACTGTGATTTGGAATATGATGGGATTTATTGAAATCTAAAGTTAGTTCATTTGCTGCTGATTATAGTCGTCAATTCAGCCTAATTAGATTAGCAGCACAAACGGCCTGAAAAGCAATAATTGACCGTGATAGTGGGGAAATAGCCTTAGCTAGGGCAGAACTTGCCTCCTTGCTTGTCAAGAAGGATCAAGTTCTTGTAGTTCCGGCCAAATTAAAAAGAATGTCTCCTGAGGCAACGAATATGGCCGCTGAACTGCGTGCACAGAAATTTTAGAAATGTATCCAATAAGGATATCACGTTCATCACATTGCCGGATAAGTGGATCGTGACTACAAATTAGGACATATGCGAGACTTTTCGTGACTACTCTCAGGATCTGTTTACCAAGGAGCCAGTATAAGCCCCGCCCAGTTCTACTCATATCTGGCTGACTTTCCCCGCCTTGAAGGCCGTCTTTGTATGACGATAAACTACATCCGCGTCCTGGATAAGACAATAAACTACGTCCAGCAGCAAGGCCTCTGATCAGGAGGTTTTGAGGAGCGTGGAACCACCTCTTAATTGCTGGTGTTCCTAGGTCCACTCTGGCCCGGAGTGGTAACACCTGTTAGGGCCCCAGCTATGGGCAAATAGTTAACCCCGAAACTGGGGTAAAAACACTATGAAAGTGCAAAAATAGGTTTTAATACCAGAAATACTTTGTAAAAAGAATATTACCAGCAATAAATTTTTGAAGGAAAAAAATATTAACAACAATGTTTTTGAAGAAAAAATATTACCAACTATACATTTTGGGGGAAAAATATTGCCAGCAATACATTTTTGAAGAATTTTGGACAAAACAAAATATTACCAGCAATAAAAAATTAAATAACCCATTGAAGTTGATATGCCGTAAAACAAAACAAACAAACCAAACCCGCCTTGAAGTGACTGAAGCGGCTGAATGCTTGGGTCTCGTTACAGAATCAGAGATCTGGGAAGCGCATAAAACTTGTTGGCCGGGAGAAAACACCAGGATTAGATGGTCTTCCTTACGAACTGTACTTGAGGCAGTTGCCCGTTCTTGTTCCCTTGCTGGAACTGATTTACAACTGGATGAAACAGGGGTCTATGTATCAACGCTTCACCAGGGGTGTGAACATCATCATCATCATCATCATCTTGCGGCCTCAGCCGAGATTGAACTCACCAATACTTGTTTGGTGTAGTTCATCATCTTGTCAATAGCTGGATTCTTGATGCTTCGCTAGGGCGATGAAGGGTGTTTTTTTTATCGTGACACCATCACTAAATGGATTGCCAACCAAGGCTCAGAGAGACTCCATTCACCCTCCTCTAAGAGCAGGTTTGAATTCAGAGTTTTCCTTCTCCTAGACCAGTTGCCATCCAAGGCTATAGAACCCAGCCTGTCCTGCTATTTACCCATAGCTGGAGGGAGAAGAAAGACGATTCACACCTTTCCCAAGGGTATTAGCACGTAAGTGAATGTAATGGATTCGACTGGAATTCCAATTCGGCTCTCCGATTCCTCAATCCAAGCCGCTATCCATTACTCCACCGTGCCTCCTGTGATCAAGTTACTACGCAAAAACAAGAACGGGATAGTTAACTTTCGGCTTCTGATGACGTTAAATAAAAAGTTGAAGATTTTAGCCAAGATTTTAGCCATCTGTTTGTAGGCTGTCCTGTCTAGTCTGATTTCTCTGAGAAGACTTGTGCTGTGAAGGGTAAGACTATTCAGGACAACTTTCATTTGATACGCTTGATCGAGCAAGTCGACAGTGAAGCGGCACTGATCAATTTAGAAGAGTTCAAGACATTCGATAGGGTTGACCATCGTTTTCTGGAGGCTATTCTTTCGGCTGCTGGTTTCAGGTCATACTTTCGCAATCGGGTCCGATTTTTGTACGCGCCCCCGGTGCACTGATCGAAATGAATGGGGTACGATCGGAGCCTTACGTGTTGTCACGCTCCATTCGTCAAGGTTGTCCGCTTTCACCTTTGCTTTACGTACTTGCGTTGAACCATTTCCTTCGCAAGTTAAAGGCGAATCCGGTCCTACCCGGAATCTCCTTACCTGGTGCTACTCGGCCAGGTACACCGCCTATGCTTATGACGTTTCAGTTTTGTGTTGAGCAGGGCCGAGATTGGTGAAGTCGGTAAAGAGATCAGAGGGTACGAGACGGTAACAGGAGCCAAGATCAACATCGATAAGTCTGTTGGCTTACGCTTGGACGCGTTGAAGGGAGTTTCTCTTCCCGGACCTTTCCTCTGGACGGGAGAGCTGGTCAAGATACTCGGCGTTTCGTTTGGTCCTGATCTCTTACTGGAAATGAATTAGTCGGAAGTACAGGAGATGGTTGAGGGTGTAGTTCTTATGTGGTCTCAAGGAATCTTTCTTTAAAAAGGAGGTATGTATTTCGTATATCTACCCAATTTTCCTTTAGCGACTCTTCGCACTTGGGCCCGACTTCTGTACGCGTCACCCGGTACGCTGGTGGAAGTGAATGGGGTACTATTGGAGCTTTACATTCCATTCAAGATTGTCTGCTTTCACCTTTGCTTTACGTACTTGCGTTGGACCTTTTCCTTTGCAAGTTAAAGGCGAATCCGGTCCCACGCGGAATCTCCTTACCTGGTGCTACCAACTCGGCCAGGTACACCGCCTATGCTTATGACGTTTCAGTTCTTGTGTTTAGCAGGGCCGAGATTGATGAAGTCGATAAAGAGATCAGAGGGTACGAGACGGTAACAGGGGCCAAGATCAACTGCGATAAGTCTGTTGGCATACGGGTGGACGCGTTGAAGGGAGTTTCGCTTCCCGGACCTTTCCTCTGGACGGGCGAGCTGGTCAAGATACTCGGCGTTTCGTTTGGTCCTGATCTCTTACTGGAAATGAATTAGTCATAAGTACGGGAGAAGATTGACCGTGTAGTTCAGAGGTGGTCTCAGAGGAATCTTTCCTTAAAAGGGAAGGTGGAAGTATGTATTTCGTATATCTACCCAATTCTCCTTTAGTGACTATTCAAAATTGAGCCCGACTTCTGTTCGGGTCCCCCGGTGCGCTGGTGGAAGTGAATGTGGTACGATTGGAGCCTTACATTCCATTCGTCAAGATTGTCCGCTTTCACCTTTGCTTTGCGTTCTTGCGTTGAACCTTTTCCTTCGTAAGTTAAAGACGAATCCGGTCCTACGCGGAATCTCTTTACCTGGTGCTACCAACTCGGCCAGGTACACCGTCTATGCTTATGACGTTTCAGTTCTTGTGTTGAGCAGGGCCGAGATTGATGAAATCGGCAAAGAAATCAGAAAGTATGAGACGGTAACAGGAGCCAAGATCAACATCGATAAGGTACTCGGCGTCTCATTTGGTCCTGATCTCTTACTGGAAATGAATTAGTTGGAAGTACGGGAGAAGGTTGAGGGTGCAGTTCAGATGTGGTCTCGGAGGAATCTTTCCTTAAAAGGGAAGATGGAAGTATGTATTTCGTATATCTACCCAATTCTCCTTTAGCGACTCTACTTCTTTCACTCCCGTATTCCATACTAATGCAATTAGCTAGGCTTTTGTTGCCCTTCTAGTGGGCAATCAAGGCTCCCAAGTTATGTCAAGAGATTTGTTATCTCCACCCTTCTAAAGGCGGTCTGGATATGCCTAGCGTTGAGATTCGTCAATATACGCTTCGCATCGCATTCCTAGTCCGAATGTGTTCGCAAGCGGATGGAAATGGCGAATTCTGAAAGTGTGCACTCGTACGAGGAAGAGGCCCACCGTTTACCCCGAGACGAGTTCTCCTATCGTGAATGCTGGTTAACTCTTAAGCTCCTCTTACGGGCGACGGGCGGCCTCTCCGACGTCCAGGCATTATATCAGGTGTTAATGAAGGGGTCTGTTCAAGCTGGTCTGATTGGAGAACTAGGTTTAATAAAGCAGAAGGCTCACTCCATATGGCCTTGGGCGTCTGGGTTGAAATGTCTCACTAACGATGAGGAATCACTCACTTGGATGGTGATGTGAAAGGCTCTCTGGCTAGACAAAAAACTTTCTTCAATGGCTTTGGGAAATTCTCCGAACTGCGCTCGCTCCGGTGAGTCGGTGGAGACCCCAAGTCACAACTTATTCCACTGCAAGGTCGTAGGTCTGTTGTACATGTTTGTTGAAGACATCATGGTTCGCATGTTACGCGGAAAGTTCTTTGCTTTGAGGCCAGTCCTGTTTGTAGCAGTATGGTACCGTCGTTGACTAAGACTGGACACTATGTATGCTTGGGCTTACTATGTGCTATGCGAGTCGTGATATGGACGACATGACAAAAGATGACGATGTTTACCTCTTCCCGTTGGCAACTCCGCCCAAAATAAGTTAGTTTAGTCTTGTTTTTTTCTCTTTTTTTTCACCAAGTTAACTTAGCTAAGGGGTGTATACTCATTGGCCCCTTTTATTTTTGCCCTCATTTTCTTTAGTTTAATTCCCCTCCCCCTTTTCGTTTTTCGGAAGTGTTCTTTCATAACTGTTGTCGTGTCTGAATAAGTGCGTACTGTGTGTGTGTGGTTGGTCGAATGATTGGTTTTTAATTCATCCAAATCCCACGTTAATTTCGTCCATCTAACTGATATTTCTGCTACAATTAACCCTAGAACACTAAGCATGGGTATATAGTACCCAGCGCAAATTTTCCTATTTTTAATTACAATTTTCCGTACCTGATTTTCATACCTAAATAATATGTTTTTCAGTTCCTATTAATGTTAACTCAAAGTACAAAGTTTAAAATGTCTACATGTAAAATATTTCAAATAATTTATTTATATTTAATATTTTTTTTTTTTTTGATATTTTCAAAATCGTGTATGATATACTCATGGTTAGTAGTGGGGTAACTTTAATTGATGGTTAGTGTTCTAGGGTTAAGGATGGTGGGAATTTTATTAATTACTAGCACCATTTTTAGTTTCTTGTATATATAGCATTATGCTTATTGTAAATATTCATTGGGGTTTTCATTTTCGATTCTTGTTATCCTCCCCACCGCCACAGACAATTGTACATATGGGGACTAGTTAGGACATCATAGAGACTTAGCGGTATTATGGCGGTTGTCGTAAGAATAGTAAGTAAGAATGTGGTATTTTGGCGCAAGGAATATTGTTTGTTTGGGTCAGTGATTGTAGCTAACGAAGTTTAAGATAAGACAGATGATGACGAGCCTTCCCCATTCCCACTTGGGCCAAATTTTTTGTAATTTTACAAAAATAAATATTAGTCCGTCGAGTCAGTCGGAGAGAATTCTGATGACGTCATGTCGAGTAACCCAAGTAAAATATAATATTATAAACGCTAGGAGTGAGTTATAACAGTTTTAAGTTCTCATATGTTTAGAAAGCTTTCTGCTGTTCGCGTATTTACTATTTATAAGGAAGTTTTATGTGCATAGTTTCTCTGTTTCGTGGGTCCTTCAGTTACTCCGATGTATATTTTTTCTTCGTTATCTGTTGATTTTACAGTGGCTTGGTATATTACATTTTTTGGCATGCAATTGCCATATAATTCATTCTTTGTTGTTACAAGTGAGTTTGTTTTCTGCGTGTGGTTTTTTGGTTATAACTATAATCACAAATGTATTTTAGTGATCAAATTCGTTTTAATCAGGCAAACGGAAGCATGATCGTGGCTTTTCCTATGGCTACCCACTGACTTTATAGTGACTCCATCACGACAGCGCTTTGCTTTGGTCATTTTCCGTTTGGTTTGGTTTGGTTTACGGCATATCAACCTCAATGGTTTATTTAATGCCGACAAGATATTTACTGCTGGTAATAGTTTCCCAAAAATGTATTGCTGGTAATATTTTTTCTTCAAAAATATATTGTTGGTATTACAATCTATTTTTACACTTTCATAAAGTTTTGACCCCAGTTTGTGGGATTAACTTTTTGCCCATTGCGGGTCAGAGTGGGCCTGGGAACACCAGCAATTAAGAGGTGGTTCCACGTTCTTCAAAACCTCCTGATCAGAGGTTTTGCTGTTGGACATAGTTTGTCGCCTTACCCAGGACGCGGATGTAGTTTATCGTCTTACCCAGGAACGTGGATGTAGTTTATCGTCTTACACAAAACGCCTCATTTGGGTGGGAGGGGAATCTTAGAGGTGCAGTCGACGTATTCCGAAGCCCCAGCCAACAAGTCGACATTTTCGGAGATGTCACGTTTTGAATTTTCTGAAAAAAAGACAAACTTTTTATAACTAAACTTTTGCCATTTTTCACCACAGCTTTCTTTTAGCAAGTTTCAGAAAAAGAATCTGTATGTTGTGTCGATTGTAAAATAAAGAAAAGCAATTTGGAGTGATTAGAAATAAATACAAGTGTTACTGACCGAACAGTAATATTGTTTGTATAAATGAAGTATCCAACACATGATGGCAACTTATAGGATTGATTGACTGATGAGTTTATAGCTTATCAGCCCTTTGTGGTTTATTTAAGGCGTATCCTATTTGGAATTGGCGGATAATCTTACACTATCCGGTGTTCCTAAGTGGTCCCCCATCTAAGTACTGGCCGAGATCAACATTGCTTAATTTCGATGATTAAACGAGAACGGGTGTTTTCAATGTAATTTGACCATAGTCCTATCCTAAAGTGAAGAGTTGAAAATGATTTTACAAAAGAAATATATTGAAAATCAAATAAAAAGGGATTGTCAGTGGTCAGGAATAAACACCAGCCTTACTGATAGAATAGAGTAATTATTTATATAAATGAATTTTCCTTCAAATAATGATGTTCTATTGGAAAGAAGTGGAAAATTATTTTAAGAGAAAAATAAATATAAGTGCAAATAAATATATGTAGCTAAATGGTATAGCACGTCAGATCAAATGACGGTTTCTGTATAGGAATACAGGTTCGATTCCTGTCGGAGAACGCATATTTTCGACGAAATTTCTCTAACATTCAGGCCGTTAAATGTAATTAATAGTGTTTAATTAGAGACAGCGTTTACATGAATAAATTGCATCTATAAAGATAACGGAAAATATATTAAATAATTGTTGGATTTAATATATTTAATCATATATATATATATATATATATATATATATATATATAATTGACGAGGCAAGTACTTTCAACAATTTCAAATTGTCATCTTCAGGGACGCAATTTTTCCATATACAGCCAAAGTGGTATTTACTACGTGAATACCATCCTGGCCAAGTAGCATACATAATTATAGTAAGCAGGAACGACAAGAGAAAACCTAATGAGAGGAGGAGAAAAAGTGTACGTGGAAAAGAAAGATGCAAGGAAAAAAGGCTAGAAAGAAAACCAGGTGAAAGAAAAAATAAATATATGTGCAAATAAATATATGATGACAACCTATAGGATTGATTGACAGATGAGTTTATAGCTTATCAGCCCTTTGTTGTTTATTTAAGCTGAATCCTATTTGGAATTGGCGGATAAGCTTACACTATGCGATGTTCCTGAGCGGTCCCCCATCTAAGTACTGGCTGAGATCAACTCTGCTTTATTACGATGATCGAACGACAACCGGTGTTTTCAATGTGATTTGACCATAGTCCTATCCTATAGGAATGAGTTGAAAATGATTTTACAAGGGAAATATATTGAAAATCATATAAAAAGGTACTGTCAGTGGTCAGGAATAAACACCAGCCTTACTGATAGAATAGAGTAATTATTTGTATAAATGAACTTTCCTGCAAATAATGATGGAAAGAACTGGAAATTACCTGTAGAGGTGTTGTGAAGGAGATAGGGCATAAATTGCGACCTGTCCAACTCAAGGTAGGCATACGTGGAGGATGTGAAGCCGCGGTTCATGCCACAAGATCATTTTTCGAGAATACAGCACCTGCTTCCCCACGTATCTTATTAAATATTGGATATGAAAAACATCAGAAGGGATCATGCCCTGGAAGTTTGCCATCAACGGACTCCTTCCATATTTAAACTGGCTCATCTTTCGTATAGTCATCCAAGTATGTTGATCGCCTCCGACAATATTATCTCTTCCGCTACTGGAATCCAGCAAGGTGATCCACTTGGTCCGCTACTATTTGCGATGGCTGTTGACGGGGTAGCTCGTTCCATCGCTTCTCCTTTCAGTATATGGTATCTTGACGATGCAACGTTGGGTGGATCCATCGAGGCAGTAGCTGCTGACCTCTGACGAGTTATTCCTGCTTTATCTCTGCTTGGACTTGAGATTAACTCGTCCAAGTCAGAGATAATAAACTTGAATTATAGTGCAGATGATTTCGAGAGTGCTATCCGGGATATTAGACTCATCCTTGAGGATATTAAAATAACACCTAAGGAGGAATTACATATTCTTGGTTCTCCAGTCTTTCCAATGGCCATTCGAGAGTGTTTGAATACTAAGCATGTCATTCTAACAAGAATGACTGAGAAATTGCAACTAATTGATACACACCCAGCCCTCTTCCTCTTGAAGAACAGTTTTTCGCTACCGGGATTCCTCTACACTCTCCGAGGTACCCCTTGCTACCTCGAACAGCATTTCTTAAATGAGATAAATATCACAGTTAAGAGTTGAGCGGAGCTAATTTGCAACGTCAATTTCGACGACACAGGCTGGAGGCAGGCAAAGCTCCCTTTGAGATTCGGAGGCCTGGGCCTTCAATCAGCGGTAGATTTGGCACTTCCAGCATATCTTTCTTCACTTTCGTCCAGTCACGAATTAATTGATGAGATACTCGGTGGTTCGTCTAAGTGTTTCTCAGGTAGTTCTTTCGAACAAGCTTGCAGCGTCTGGACTCAAGAATTACTTTCTCTCCCACTAGACACATCAAAACAAAAAAGCTAGGCTAAAATAAAATGCGAGGCCAATTTTTCTAATTTGAGGCTCTCTCTGGATCAGCATCACCTCGCCTGTCTATTATCTGCTTCACAACCGAGTTAGTGGTGCCTGGCTCAACGCAGTGCCCTCTTCATCTACCGGTACCCTTCTAGATGATGAGTGCACTCGAGTCGGAGTCGGAATCCGTCTTAGACTCAAAATATGTGAGCATCACAGATGCAGATGTGGAGTCTCCATCGATGGGTTTGGTTTGCATCCTCTCTCCTGTCGTCGTAGTGCCGGCCGCTTTCCACGGTATGCTGCCATTAACGACATCATCAAAAGAGGTTTGGATGCAGCTGGTTTCCCTTCCCAAATCGAACCCGTAGGCTTCGACCGTGGTGATGGAAAGCGGCCGGATGGCATTACCATTTTCCCTTTCAAAATGGGGAAGTCGTTGATTTGGGATACGACCTGTGCGGATATATTTTCGGCCGATAATTTGATCAGGTCCGCGGTTGAGCCAGGATCCGTCGCCCGGGATGCAGAGATGAAAAAAATAGTTAAATATTCTTCTCTTGCTGATAGATTTTTTTTTTTACTCCTGTGGCAGTGGAGACTTCAGGGGTTATTGGCCCTCGTTCGATGGCGTTCCTTCGGGGGATTGGCGCGATTGCGTCTCGATTAAGGGACGAGCCTCGCGAAATGGAGTGGCTCTTGCAGCGTGTCTCACTGGCGATGGTTGAAGGTAATTCTTTCTCCATCATTGTGGCTGGCAGAGGTTAGAAAAAATTGTTTATTGTTACGTTGTTCTGGAATTGTCATCAGTGGTCAACTGTAATTGTTTTGTTTCAATAAATTTTAATTTGTTTTTTTTTTACAAGGGAAATGTATTAGAAACTAGACAGTGATTGTCATGTTCAGGAATTAACGTTAACATTATTAACAGAATAGGATTAATGTTGGAACAAATTATGCAACCTGGAAATAATGATGTCCTGTAGGAATGAATTGAAACTGATTTTATAAAAGAAATATATGAGAAATCAGGAGAAAAGTGATTGTCATAAAGAATTAATACAAGCGTTACTGATAAAATAGACTTATTATTTGTATAAATTAAGTTCCATACAGAAAATAATTTCCTAGGTAAATCAAATGGGAATTATTTTGCAAGAGAAATGTATTGAAGATCTCGAAATCAAGAATTAATGCGAGCGTCACTGACCGAAAACTTCACATATGTGTCTTGAACCATCTAACCCGAACATTTTTAATAACGTGCTGACTACGTTCCCACCAGAGACACGATCAGTCATCGAGTAAGCAGTCTTTTGATTTTCGCGTTTTACTTGAAAGGCATTTTTAGAAAACTTGAAGTTCTTGACTACATAAGTCTCATGAGTTCATAGTTCTAAGAAACCGGCTTTGTACGACTATAGAGCTTTGGGGGTTACAACTTAAGGTTTTGAGTGGTTTCATTTATTTGCTTAAAATGAATGAAGGCTATAATGACACAAATTGTAACAAAAAGGGAATAATAATAATAATAATAATTATTATTATTATTATTATTAAAAAAACAGGAAAGACGTGTCTAAGTATGGGAATTGACGTCATATCCAAACAGAAGACGGAGGCGTGTCTGTCCAAAAGAATGAAACAAGAAAATTGTTTCCACTTGAAAACACCTAAGCCTTTATGCGTGTATGCGTGTGTGTACATCTGCGTATGTGTGTGCGTGTGTGTGTGTGTGTGTGCACGCGCACGCGCGTGCGTGCGTACGTGTGTGTGTTTAAAAAGGCGGGAATATTCTCTTTCATTAAATATATCAGAGGAGAAGGCTAATTGCCACTGGACAGAAAAGAAAAATTAAAACTGAATTGGACAGCTCTCCCCCCTCTCTCTCTTTATCCCTCTCTCTCTCTCTCTTTCTCTCCTTCCTTCTCTACCTCTCTCTCTCTCTCTCTCTCTCTAAACCAATAAAATAATAAATAACTTGTATTATTTAATAATAAAATAAAATCAATTACATTTATGATTTAATGGTTATTTAGTCGTTTTTGATCATATATATATATATATATATATATATATATATATATATATATATATATATATATATATATATGTATGTATGTGTGTGTGTGTGATAAGAATACACTTTTAAGGTATGCTATATTTATGAGTAAAAGTGCTTAATATCAGAGACAAAGCGTATGTAGATATAAAAATATATGATGCTGAGGTCAAGATCAAGCGGCGACAGACTGTTTCATTCTTCAATGGAATCTTCAGGCCATGTATGTTGTGTTTTCACTCGATTATTTATATATACTGACCAATGGTGCATTATAGGTAGTAAAGTCTATTGTATTATACTAACGGTTATTGGTTGTTTGGTAATTGTTATATTTCAAATTATTCTGAAGAATATTGAGTAAGAATAATTGTAGATCCGAATGCGTTTATATGAAGATATATTATCGTTTAGTTTGTTAACTTTTTACCCATTTATTTATTATTGATTACATAATTATTTGTTGTGGATTATTCTTATTTTATATTTATTTATGTTTTACTCTATGTTTTTTACGTTTATGCATGCATTCGTATTTTTGTTTTTGTTTTTTGCTATTTACTTAATTTGTTCATTTATTTATTTAGATTTTTTGTTTATATGTTTTCTGGGTTGGCTATTTTATTTGCTTAGTTTAAAGTGTGGACTTTGTCTAAAGTATGTTACACTTTTTACGGTGTATATAGTGTATATATTTGCATTTTTCTTATTCCTTTTTAATTTTCGGTTTTTAAGTAAAGTTGTAAAAATTTGTTTTCGTATCTTCATTTTGTGATAAGTTCTGATCATTTATTAAGTAATTTGTGTTGTTCTGAGAAGCTGATTATAACTCAAAGTTTAAAGATTTGGGATTTATTTTTGTAGATTGATGCCATTTTCCCTATTTTTCATATTTTTGGTGTAATTTCATTTTTGGTTTTAATTTATCATATCTATTTTGAAAAAGTTCTGCTACTTGCGTACTTGCTATTTGTAAAGAATGTTGCGTGTGCGTACTTTCTCCATCTCCAAGATCCCTCAGTTACTCCTATGTATAATTTTCAGCTGATTTTACAGTGGCTTGGTATATTATATTGTTTTGCAAGCAATTGCTATTAAAAGACATTCGTTCTTCGCTCCGCAGTTACAGGTGGATTTAGTTTGTTCGGGAGATTTGTTGATTATTTTGGGCTTTGTGATTATTTGTACCGTGTTCTCGGTGCAACTGCAGCTGATTTTTACTGCGCTTCTGTTGACTATATTTAAATGAGTGCTTGATGAAGGGGAAAAGTTTGTATATGAGTTTAAGTAATATTCTAACATTTGTGTAGTGGGATTGGTTGGGCTAATACTAATTAGCATAACCATACCACTACGTAGGCAGAACTTGATATAGACTGGGGAAGAGTGTCTCATGTGACGACTACTACTTCTGTGTGGGTATCAACTTCATGACAAAATGGGTCGCCGAACGAAACTATGGTGGATTTGGAAAACCCTGAAGAGATTATTATCTGGTTAAAGTGTTTTGAGGCAATGGCCAGAATGGAGAAATTAGCGGATGAACTGAAGCAGAAACAAATCACGGATTTATTTATGGCCACCGATTTATTTAAAGCCATTAAGCAAGTATCCTTAATGACCGGAGGAGATCGAAAATTTAAACTTTAAAGACATTAAGGACATAATTTTAAAGAATATCCAACCAAAAAGAAGATTGGTCATTGCTGAAATGACCAAATTTCTAGCATCAAGACAAGAGTCTGGAGAACATATGAGGAAATATCTCAGTAGACTAAGAGATACTGGTAGGTATTGTGACTTTTATGAACTTGGATGAAAAGGAATAACAACAGAGGAGGAATTGATTCAACTTCGACTGGTGGAAGGACTATACGATACAACGCAAAGACTTAAAACTCTGGAGAGGTTGCAATCCAATAATATGAATTTGAAAGCGTGTATTGAATTTATACAGCAGGACGAGTTGATTGAAAAAAAAAATATATATATATATATATATATATAAACAAAAAAAAGAAGAAATGATGGAAATATGCGCCATTAAGAAAAAATCAAATCAAAATGCAAGTATTGCAGTTATGAATATGAGCAAAAAAGAGAAAAATGTCCCGGATGGGGGAAATATGTGATAACCGTAGAAAAAAAGAATCATTTTAAAGCCGTGTGTAAATAGCAAAGCAACAATATAAAAATGTGGAAATAGTACAAGACGGAATCAAAAAATCAAACGGATGTTTTTACGCTAGAAAAGAAAAACAAAAGGAATACGTTCAAGAGTATAAAGCTG